AGGCCGCTGGCGCCTTGGTGGGGACCCGTGCCCCTCCGCACACTTGAAGCTCAGAGCTGCTTGGGATTGGCGCGCTCAGCGGGGGCCCGGGGAGGGGTGTCCCTCCGGCGATTGGCCGAGGGGCGCACCTGTCACGGTCCAGTTCTCCTGCCGCCCCGCCCCTGCGCCCCCAGGTCCTAAGTAACGGGTGGTGAGCAGCCGTGGTGGGGAAGAGGAGATGGGTGGGAAGGGCTTGGAGGATGAATACAGGCCTGCGGCTTCGTTGGTGCTGAGTGGGTGGCGGGCGCTGGCAACCTTGTGTCCCTGTGAGTGGCCCTGAGTCCCCTAGACACCTTGTTCCGCCAGAGGCGGATATCTTATCTTCCTTCAGCTACTCGTGCGCCCTTGCTGGAGTTGTGGACTCTGGGAAACCAGGTGGCTCCTCACCCCTGAAGCCCACCCTGAGCTTAGCACTCTGAAGACCAGAATCTCCCGCCTTCCTGAGTCCACCCTCAGCTTTCCTCCCCTTGCAACCCCCCCCCCCCCCCCCCCCCCCCCCCCCGTCTCCTGCGCCACAGATGTTTGTTTGAAGGTTTCCGGTGTGTATAATATGGTGAGTGAGAGTCTGACGCCCACAGATCTTTTTCAGGAGCTTTCCCATCCCACGCCACCCCTGTCAGGGTGTAAAGAGGGCAGTCTTCCAATTCTTCGAGTGAGGGACCCACATTGGCTTCAAGGTTCAGGTGCCAGCCAGTGAGCCGGACCTAGGTGACAAAGTTCTTTTGCCCATGCCTTGCCTCTTGGACGTTCAACGGAAACGCTTTGCAGGAGTCTGTCGAGGGCTGCACCCTTAGACTGCACCCTCCCCAAGACTAAGGGAACCACAGTCAGGCTCTCGCCTCCTCCTGCCGGCCGCGTCCAGGAAAATCAGAAGAGGGCTTCCGACTGAGCAAGACATTAGAGTGTGAATCCAGACCTCACCCTACACATACATCAAATATTTACAATAAAAAGCTTCCTTCCAGATTGTTTTGTTTTGTTTTTTAAGTTTAACGAATCAATAAGTAGATTGGGAAACCAAGCGGCCACGAAGCTCCATCCTCAGTATCTTCCCCAAAAAGGGGGAAGGCAGGAAGGCGGGAAGGCGTTCCAGGTTCCTGAAGCTTGACTTCCTAAGCAGGTGAGAGGTTAATAAAGGGGTGGATGCGGGCCAGGAAGGGGCAGAGGATCCCTAAGACAATCGATGCTGGGTGAACATAAAAGTAGTAGGTAAGAACCTGGCTGCGGTGGCGCAGCCTTTAATCCCAGGACTCAGGAGGCAAAGGCAGGTGAATCTCTGAGTTCCAGGCCAGCCTGGTCTACAGAGCAAGCTCCAGGACAACTAGGACTGTTACACAGAGAAACCCTGTTTCAAAGCAAACAAGAAGGAAAGAAAGAAGGAAAGAAAAAAAGCTTCAGGCAAGGCTGTTTTAAGAGAGCTGTTTTTGAAAGATAAATAAAAGGGCTGTACTTTTCTCCTCAAGAGTTTTTATTCGGGAAAGACTGAACAGCGTTTCTGTTCGGATGAGTGGGATTCCTTTTTCATGATGACACGGTGGTTCTGAGATGCACAGTCCTGAATGGAAAGTCCGGAACAGAGCAGGAGCAACTTGGAGTAAATGCTCCACAACTTTGCAAAGGCCAACCGCTAGTCAAAAGAGCACCACATCTACACAGCTGTTGTCTTTTAGATAACTGTCTCTTTGGGGGTGATTAAAATGCAGCCCTGCCTCTAAGTAGAAACACTTCTGTTCCTTGAAAACCTGCTATGTTGCATCTTCTTTCTGTAATTATCATCTTTACTCTTCATTATGATGATACAAGGAGGATTTATCATCTTTGTCTTCTAGAGCACAGGCTGAAAGAAACTGAGATCAGTTCTGATTTTGGGGGGCCACACCTGCTGCCCATGAAACTTCTCATCTGTATCTGTCCTGGCTCCTCATCCCATCTGACTCTGTGTGAGATTCTCTGCCTCTTCTATGGCGGAAGCCCAATACAGGCGAGCAAGGATGCTGGGCTGCTCTGCTTGTCCCAGGATGTAGCTTTTTCTAGATGACAGTAAGTTGACTGGTCTCCAAAGAAATTATTCAAGATGGAAGAGAATGATTATAGATGAGATTTCCCTGAGGTGGACCTCAGTGGATCCACATCCTCTCATCTGACCTGCAACAACAGAGTTGTTTTTGTTGATTGGGGTGGGGCGGGGATAGGTTTACTGAGGTTCAGGTACAGGTTTCCTCAGTAAAATCATCTGAACAGAGGAATTCATTGCCTATTTGTTGTGTAGGTGATGTGTTCCCAAAGCCTCTAAATGCCTTTCCCCTTTCCACTGTCTGGAGTTTGAGGACCCACAAAGCCCTAACCCTACCAGTCCCCCACCACCTGTGGGCTGAGTGAGACAATATCAAGAGCCTCTTTGGTGAAGGGGAACTTGACTCGATGGATTGATTTTTTTGTCTGGCAAAGTGGGGGTTGGGCCAAACAGACTCTCTGAAATCAAAGGGCTTGAACGTGATCATATATTTCGCTTCTGTTTGGGAATAAGTTAATGCTCTTTGGAGGTGCCCGGTAAGTTGTTCACCAAGAGGCAGGAGTGAAGAGAAAGACTGGGAGTTATCTGGAACTGGGATCTTTGTGTGTTTTACAACGTGTGAAGTGCACATGCTGGGTCTCTTCCTGTTCCCAGTGTCTATTGACCCAGCCCAGCTGGCTTTGGGGCAGCCTAGGACTAAGCTGGGGGCTTACTAGCGGCTCAATGAGAGATCAAAGGTCTGCAGAGTTCCCAGTCCTGTGCCTTCAGGTAGCTGCTTTCTCCAGCAGGCCCCGGGACCAAAAGAGGCTTTGGAAGAGCAGGGAAGAAGATCTCGCCTACCCAAAGGAGGTGCAATTAAAGGTCCGGTGCACCTCCAATCAGTTGACTCTCAGTCATTTTTCCTCTGTGCCCAGCCAGAATCTCTTTTTTTGGGGTCGTGCATTAAGTAAGTTACTAAGGATAACCTGCAGTTGAGCCTCGTCTCATTACTGAAAAAAAAAGGGTGTTGCTTTATATAAACAACCACAGAAGAGTAAGATGTTGGGAGGCTGAACAATGGTTCCCAGGGTTCTACAGTTCAGATCTGGAGAGGAAGTACTGCTCTTGAAGAGAACTCAAGTTGGGTTCACAGCATCCACTCACAGCCACCTGCAACTCTGGCCATAGGAAACTGTACTCCCTCTTACAGACTCCTCAGGTCCATGCACTCACAAATGCATAGCCACAGATAGACACAAATATATACATAATTAAAGCATAAAAATAAAAATTTTAAAGAAAATGTTATAACCTATGTCTTTTACATCTAGAATTATACAAGAATCCAGGACAAAACCTACATATACCCAAGTTCACAGGAGCCAGGCCATTGATTCTTTTACTGTCACTCATTTGCTTCCCTTCCTGTGGAATGCAGCAGGTACAATGTACAATAGCCACTAACAAGCCGGCTAGGAGCCTGGAGATGTGGCTGGGAGACTGGATAGAAGACAGTCTTCCCTGTCCCTCCCTCTGCACCCCTGCCACTTGTTTGGCTATTTCCAGAATTGAAATAAGCGACCCCCTATGCTCAGCATCATAGAGAAAGGCTCAGCCTTATCGTGAACCTTCACTGGAGTTAACTCAGTTCAATTTCAGGTCAACATTTTAAGGCTCCCCTTCAGAAAACTGAGGCTGGAGGATGTGGTGTGGCCAGCCAGAGCCAGGACTCAAGCCCATCGTGGTGTCGATGGTGGTGGTGGTGGTGGTGGAATTTTTCCAGGCTATATAAGCTCAGGAGGACACAAAGTAAGCAGGGAAAGTGCTGAACCTGGAGGGAGATAGACCACTCTCTTTCAGGCCTGGCTGACTTCAGTGTTTAGAATTTCCCTGGGGATGTACCCCCCAGCCTGGGAACACAGACTCCAATGGAGAGCCTGGGGTCACTGGAAGGTGAGATCAGGAAAAGGGAAGTCTGTTGAGTTCTGCCCACTCCTCACAGCCCCTGCAGAGCCTGAGTGCCAAAGGTACCATCAACTCCTTTAACACCACCCTTTCATCTGCTGACCTCTTCTCTGACTCCTCTCCTCAGACCCCATCCTCAGTTCAGCTTTTAAAGGGCTGGTTTTCAAAGGTGGCACAGAAGACAGTGACCTGAGGACTACCAACCTGCAGGGAAATGCTCTTGCCAAGGATACTAGCCAGTCCTTTTCTTTGCCAGCCCCTCCTGTTCCTCTCCTGTCACCCTGTTTGAAAAACATCCTCCACCCTCTCCAGACCTGTGCAGAAGCCTACACTGCCTGGACCAGCTGGAACTCAGGCCAGCCAGTCTCTCTGGCTGCCCTTCTCTACTGTCCCTATTCCTCACTGTAAAGAAAGAACAGTCAAACCTGGGCCATATGGGACACGTACAAAATCCCAGCAACATATTGGTATTCTATGTTTGGAAATTGACTCTAGATACCAAGCTTTGTTGTTGTTGTTGTTGTTTGGATGTTTGTTTCTGTGTGCCCCAGAACACAGATAAGAGCCTGAGTTCAGCCCTGCACTGGCTTCTTTCGGACCCAGGAAGTCAAAAGTCAAATTTTCAATTCCCCTTACACATGCTAGAAGCCAAGTGTCTGGGTCATAAAGAGAAACAAGGCTGGAAGTGGTTACCTCAGTTCTTTTAATCAGCTAGGGGTGGGGACAGCACCCTTAGAAGAAATGAAATACTTCCCAGGAAACCTGTGGTTTTGCTCCAAGATCTCATTTCATTTTAGTGCAGATTCATTATGTAGGAACTTCAGACCATTGTCAGGACAAAGAGCAAAGGATATCTCCAAGTGGGTTGTGCAGCCCTGACCCCACTCTACCTGCAGGGCTGAGAATGTCTTCCACCCATGGAAAGGAGCTGTTTGGAAGCTTGCAGAGCAATGATAACTCGGCTCCCAGCACACGTGTGAAGCATGTTTAGGAAACCTGTTCATGTGGGTACTCCCAACTCCCACACTTTTCTAAGGCATCTGTCTGCCCTGGTCAGGCAGAAGGAGAAAGTAACACCGCTAGACACTGGCAACATTGGGGTCCCAGAAACAAAGTTTACAAACCCTGGCAAGCAATGCAATGTGTGCTTTAAAAAATATAAAAACAAAAACAGCAACAAAAAGGGTCTGCCTGACCTGGCCAGTCATCACCGACCTATGTGATGCTGGCGGTGGATCAAACACCCAGGGAAGAAACCCAGAAACACAAACACAGATGTTGCCTGGGAACATTTTAATGCCTCAGTGAGTGAATTTTTTAGTGTGTTCTGACTTGAAATTATGGTGAATCAGGGCGTACTAATGCCCAAGTCTACAGCAGATAATGGCAGGAAGTCCTGGCTAATTGGTCTATTCACTACTTGCTGAGGTGGCAGAAGCTGAGGCTCCAGGAGGCAGAGTGAGGACAAGGAGGAGGAGCAGGGATGCTGCATCTCAGAGCTGGGGAGGGACAGGTGAGAGTGAGGGTTGTTCCCCAGCACAGGCAGCTATGTCTAGGATCAGGTTTACCTCAACCCTACCAATGCCTCTCTGCACACAGAGACCCCAGGAGAGGTCTCTTGCCAGAAAGACACAGCTGGGTTACCCCAGAAGCTCTTCCCAAGTGTTGCCTTTTTTAGGGCAGTGGTCTCACCAACTGTGTAAGAAATGAACCTATCCCCCATTCTACAGATGGACAAACCAAGGCTCCAAGAAGTCCAGGCTCTTTGCTTAAGAACCACAGAATAAAGTCCCAGGGGTTCTGGCTTTGAGTTCTGCACTAGCTTTCGTCCACAATGTGGGCCAGTGTATTTGGTTGTTAGAATCTCCTTGTTTCCTATTTATTATAATTCCTCCTCCACACTCCATCACCCTGCCTTTGCTGGTCTGGCTCATACCTGTGACAGCCACATCAGAGATGCCAGATTGCCTTTGGTGTTCCTATTCCCCTTTGGGGAAGGTGTCTTTTCTCTCCTTTGCTCACAACTATTCTTGCAGAGACCAGCAGGGAAGGAGAAAGACCCACCCCCTCGGAGACTCTCTGGGGCCCTGTGCTGCGGGCAAGATAATTTGGCTAATGAACTCGTTAAAGGGCCCCTGGTGACCCGCCCTGGCCTCCCCTTGGCCCATCTGGGAAATTCCACTGAAAGGCCGAGAGCGCTCTGCAGCTCTGCTGCCGTCTGTCACTGCAGGAGGCGCGAAGTGGTGACTCTAGGCCCCTTACATTAAAATAATTACCCCACGGAACAGGTGGCCCACTCCTGGCCCCCAGACGCATCTGGGCCTGGAACTGAGGCTTCCAGGGGGAGAGAACGGCCCGCCCAGGGGAGGGCAGGTCAGGCCAGAGGCAGGGAGGGCAGAGAAGGGCCTTTGCAGGCCTGTGGATCTCTGGACACCGGGCAATTGGGTGGCCAAGGCCTTGAGAGAGGGAGTCAGCTTGCGCAGCCACCCACTCTTACTATATGGTGGTGCCAGAATCGAACCTCGTGCTCTCATCTGACTCCGAAGCTTGGTGCGCATTCCTGTACTGAGCTTTACACCCGGGTCCCCCTGCAGGTTACCCCAGCATCCCAGCGGGAGACTGGAGACAGGCAGCTCAGGCAGCTTGTGTCCATGTGCACTGAGGAGCACGCACTGAGAGCCTGGGCTCATGTGTGCATGTGTGTGCAAGGTGGCTCCCTGTTCTCGAGTTCACGGAGAGAGGCTGCTTAGGGAGTTAAAGAAGCCCCTGCAGTGTAGCTGAAAGGAGCAGCGCAGCCCCGGCGAGAGGCCAAGCCTATTGCCAAAAACACGTATTACACTGCGACATTCTGTAAATGAGATAATGATACATAAACCCGATGATCGATGTGACGGGCCTGGATGTCTTCTCTAAATTAGCTGCTCACATGGACTGCTAATAATGTGAGTTTATGAAAGCAATTTCGGTTCAAACGGCGAGAGGGTCTTCTTACTCTAATCAGCCTGCCTGGCTAATGGACGAGGGGGTCAGGCTGAGCGTTATTGACACGCCCGTGCCCTTAACCTGTTTCCCAATAAAGCTGATTAGTTTTTGTCAATTCATCAGCTAACCACTCTGGCTGGAACCGCATCAAAGCCATATTTGTTCAACGGAATCAACAAGTCACAGATCAGCAGCGTTCAGGGGCTGGGCTGGTCAGGACCTGCCTTAGGGAGGAATGCCATGAGACTTTCCCCTGAGCCGGAGAACCCTAAAATGAGTACTGTAGAAACGCGCAGTCTGGAGGCTTCCTTCCTTTCTCTGACTGACAGCGACTGGCCGGGACCACACTAGGTCTCTCAGCGATCTGAAAAGTCAAGTTGGGCCAGGCAATCTTCTGGCAGGGTAGAGCCTGGGGAGGGAGGGGATGTGTGCCAGGGGAAACAGAAGAGGGGCCCACTGTGGGAGGTATGGTTCTGAGGATGCTCTGTACCTTCTGTGTGTCCCCAGGAGAAAGAGAAGGGCTGGATGTAGAACATCAGGCCTCTTAGGCAGGTAGAAGACAGGCCTGTCTGCAGCATGTTAACCACCTCTCCTGCTCCAGGCCAAGGGAGGACCCTTGTGACTGATTTTGGGGGGATCAGGAGCCTGACTAGGGGAAGCTTCAGCCAGGTGAGAATACACCTGGCCTGGGTGTTTGTTACCTGCCCCCTCAAGCAGGGCTGGAGGTCTTCGGGGCTGGGCAGGGAGGGCATGGCTCCCAGTCTCCTTCAGCTCTCTCTACCACTTGACTGAGCCAGTGAGGTGGAGGTGACCTCTAACTCTGGCCCTTGGGTGAAGAAAGGAAATTGTGCACTGTCTCTTTAAGGCCCCAGCCAGGACTGCCTCCAGGGCCCCATCCCCCTTCAATTTAATTTCATTAAAACAGAGCATGAATATTTCTATTAAACCTAAAATGAAATATGAAGCCATTTAGACTCTGCCTGCACCAATCACCCAGATTTATGACTTTTATTCATCACATCAAGAGCTTGGAAAAATGAATTTTCTTCACCCAGGAAGGAAATAAAACCTCAGGCTTGGTCATTTCCAGAAAGCTGTTAATTTGACCATGTGGTAATTACTTTCACAATTAACTAAAATACAAATCAACTTGACAAATTGGGCTAGTTTATATATTAATTAGCCCGCTTAAATTTATTCATTATGAAAAGACAATTTAAGGGGACCTGCAGTGTCTGTTTTATTGCAATAAATTATTATAAGGAAATGGGACTAATAAAACATCATAATATTTAAGGATATAGTACACGCATGGGGGTGTGCTTTATTGACAATTTCATTTTCCAATTAGTAATTTTGTTGTAATATATCGGCGAACCCGGGACTTCTGGGCAGGGAGACAGGATCCCCCAGGTCCGGGGCGGTCAGAGTGGTGGGTCGGAGGCACGGGAGCGAAGGCCAGGTCTGGCGCGAGCAGCGGGCAGACGAATTGGCTCCCAGGCAGGCGCTGGGGTGCAGCGAGCAAGTCCTGGGCACCGCGAGCCCAGGCCGGGATGCGGCTCCCGTCGGCGGGGTCCTCCTCCCCGCAGGTCGCGGGGCTGATTTAATAGAATGTCGATAGAATCATTCGATGCCTTTTAGCTTGTGATCTTTATAAATGTCCCTCTATTAAATTAGAAAATGATTCTCTTCTCGTTTAATTGTATTCTTTCGTTTCTTATTTCCAATTAATTAGTCCTATCGACGTTGCAATATTTTAAGCGACTCGAGTCCGTTTCCAGTTAGAATATATGGGTCAACGCATTCAGTTTTATACTCGACAGAACTATATAATGTGGGTTTTAACTACTCGTCCCCATCTGTCTTAAACACCTGGCCGCTTTGGGTCTGCTTCCTGGGGTCGATGGGCCCTCATGCCCCCCTCCCCCTGCGCTTTCCTGCTCCCGAATGCACAGTTCAGTCCCAAAGACCAGTTGCCAGGGCCTTTGTTTGAGATTTTTTGTTTTAAACACGTCCAGCCCAATGCCTCCCTGACAAGCCGACCTGTAAAGAGTACCAGCATGGGGCGGCTCAGTGTCTGAGGGGTTGCGTTTCCCCAAAGAGAGGAAAGTTTAGTATTCTGTGCAGTGGTGGTCCTTGTCCACTCGTGCCCTCTTCTGCCCTTTCTTTACACAGGCTCACACTTTATAACCCTGGCTAGCCGGCAACCGGCTACATAGCTCGCCAGGCTCACCGGGCTCACCTCAAACGTTGGACTGATCTCCCTTCTTCTGTTTCAGGGTTACAAGCATGTGCTACCACTTCCCCTCATAAAGCTACTTTTAAGTATATGGCGCTGAACAACCCCCCTTCTTTCTCTATCCTGTCCCCTTACTTTTGCTGTGGTGGGGCATACGTACACTTAAGACCCTCAACAGCGCCGGGAAGCCCAGACATCAGCCACCAACAGTTTGCTTTCCCTGTTAATGATTCCTCCTAGTCCAAAAGTACAGGTCCCTCCAACTTCTTCTGAGCTGTCCACATGCCAGGCACACAAGTGGCAGCAGAGTAATTTAGGATCCCGATCTTCTGCGGACTGCCTACCCGCAGCCAGTAGCCCAACAGCCCCACAGCCCTGTGAATGTCAGGTGGCAGGGGAGATAGGGGTTGCATTTTCCCTGTTTGGTCGGTGTGCAGGGTGTAAGTCTGCCAAAGCCTGCTTTCTCCACCCCTGGAGGGGAATGGTTAGGAGAACGTCTACTTTGGGCTGGGAATCAGCCCTCACACCCTTTCTGCTTCTTTCTTACTAAATCAAGAAGAACTGCCTTAAACTGCACGGCCTGTCACATGGATTCTCCTCTGTAAAAGCCAGGCTTCTTTCTAAGGCCTATGTCCCCCAAAACGGGGGGACGGGGGTGGGGGGGTAGGGAGTGAGGGGAGTGTCCAAAGACTCACTGAGGATCCAAGAAGCCCCACTTCCAGCAACAGTAATGACAGAAGGCTTCCTGTCCTTACTTAGCTCTGCTGCTGGTCACAGGGCCAGATGACTGGCTGGGGAATTTGCCATTCAAAATCTGAATTTCTAAACTTCTTGACAAACCAGGTAAAAGAAGGTAAGTGGCCTCCCTCCAGGCCTAGATCGCTTTCCTGAGGAACCTGGTTGCTCCTTCCACAAACGTGTGTGAGTGTGAGTGTGTGTGTGTGTGTGTGTGTGTGTGTGTGTGTGTGTTCTCTACAATCACATTTTTTAAAGACTTCGAAGGTGGACTCGGGTCTGCTGGAGAAGGAGCTCCTTTCCTTAGTGCTGACAGAATGAGTCCCCTTCTGGGGGGGGAGGGGCGCTGACCCCTGGCAGGGCAGCTCTCAAAGATTTACAAACATCCCCTTAATCCTCCCTCAGTCCCCTGGGAAAGTTCCCTTTGCTTCTTAGCCCCACCCTCCAGGTTCTCTCTGTGATTGTCCTAAAGGGGAAAGTAAATTCAGCAACTCCAGAGCACCATCTGACCACCATCTCCCAGCCTCCCTATCTTGGACCAGAGCTGGGTCAGGCAGAGGGAGCTGCTTCTCATCTGGATGCTCAGTCTGAACTGGTAAGAGCAGTTGCCTGAGACAGGCTAGAGCTGGTTCTATACTTCATTTTCCAAAGTAGAGCAGAGACACCTTCTTGCCTCTGGCTGTTCATCCACAACACCTCATTGGTCTCTCCCTGCCCCAAGAGAACCTTGCAGTACCTTTCTGCTCTCTTGGCCACAGCTAGGCTGTTTAACATGGTCTAAGCTAGAAAGAATTCTTAAGGTCCTTTGTGTGAGCAGCTTGGTTCTAAGAGACAACGTAGTAGTTTCATTGCCATTTTTGGACTGGTGGAATTTAAAGCCTTTTGGAAGAGTGTGTGTGTGTGTGTGTGTGTGTGTGTGTGTGTGTGTGTGTGTGTGTGTGTGTGTTTAAAAATGAGGGAACCAGGGATAAAATGAGGAAGGATTTGGAAGAGCCGAACACAGAGCCTGGTGTTTTTCTGTGATGAGGTGTGTTATAGAAACCACTCCCAGAATGCATTAGGAGGCAGCACTGGATCACCTTCCGTTTGTCTGCGAGTGTCTGCAAGTCCACTCTTGGTTGTCTCTTCTCTTGACACATTTCCTAACTTGCCAACCAGCTTTATATCCTTGGGTTTCAGTTTTATCATTATGAAATTTTTATTTTGCCATCTCCAGAGTCATTTTGACAACTATAAAATAATCAAATGTAAGGGAAGTGCTTTCACTTATAGTTAAACAAACTATGGCAGAAGGTTGTGGAGAAGGGGTAGTTTAAACTGACTGGGAGTCCTTTTTAAATTTATTTTTAATTAGTTAATTAATTAATTAATTAATTTTGGATTTTTGAGACAGGGTTTCTTTGTGTATCTTTGGAGCCTGTCCTGGAACTTGCTCTGCAGACCAGGTTGGCCTCAAACTCACAGAGAGATCTGAGTGTCTCTGCCTCCAGAGTGCTGGAATTCAAGGTGTGTGCCACCACAGCCAGCTTTATTTTTAATTTTTTAGCTACTTATTTTATCTGTGTTTGAGTGTGTTTGCCTGAATATTTGTATGAGCACCAGAAGGTCTTTGGACCTCCTGAAACTGATTAGTGTGAACCACTGTTGGGAGTCAAACTCTGTTCTCTCAACTGCTGAGCCATCTCTCCAGCTCCTAGCTGAGGAGCAGGAATAGTGTGGCTACTGCATGCGACATCAGCCCCATTTTAGAGGCGAGGAGGCAGGTTTGCCTCATTTTCTCCCAAATTACACATCTAGTAAGTGGTTTGAACAGCTTGTAAGGGAACTGTTACACAGAGAAACCCTGTCTCGAAAAACAAAACAATTAAAGGCTTCTGTCAGTTTAAACCACCTCTTCTTTTGGTATAAGCTCCTAAGTAATACTGCCGAGTCATGGGACAGTTCTAGTTCTAGGTTTTTGAGGCATCTTCTTGTCATTCATCCTAACAGCAGTCATTTATAGACACACATCCACGTGTCCCCCAGCACTGGCCTCTGGTCCTTCTGATAGCAGCCTTTCCAGAAGGTGCTTTTGCCCTGTGTCTCCCTGAAGGTTTGGGAGGGTGAGCACTCTCTTCCTGTTCCTGTTGGTCTCTTGTGTTTGCTGTGGATGATGTCTGTCTACTCACAGATGTTTCTCTCATTGTGTAGCGTCCTTCTCATTGTGGTGTGTCCTTTGCTTGTAGCAACTATTTTGATGCAATTCCATTTTTCTATTTGTTGTTTATACTTTTATTTTTTAAAGATTTATTTAAAAAATTTGTGTATGAGTGTTATGCCTATGTGTTGCATGTGTGTCTAGTGACCTCAGAGGACAGAGGAGGGTGACAGATCCCCAGAGACCAGAGTTACAGACAGCTTTAAGCTGCCATGCAGTTGCCAGGAACCAACCTGGGTCCTCTGGAAGAGCAGTCAGTGCTCTTAACCACTGAGTCATCTCTCAAAACCACCTATGTTTTTGCATAAACATATTTAAAAACAACTCTTTCAAGACTTCCTTGGAGCTGGAGAGATGGTTCAGCAATTAAGACCACTGGCAGCTCTTCCAGAGGACCTGGATTCGATTTCCAACACCCACACAGTAGCTCACAACAGTCTGTATCCATTGTCCTCTTCTTGCCTCTATGGGAATCAGGCACACATGTGGTACACACACACACACACACACACACACACACACACACACACACACAGAGAGAGAGAGAGAGAGAGAGAGAGAGAGAGAGAGACAGAGACAGAGACAGAGACAGAGAACATCTACACATATAAAGCAAATTTTAAAAAGAGGAGGTTTTCTCTAAGAATTTTATAGCTACAGGTCTTACATTTAAGTTTCTAGTCCATTTCAAGTTAAATTTTGGGGGGTCATTGATGGTAAGGACCCTGTTTCTCTCTTCTGCTTAGAGATACCCAGTCGCCCCAACATTGCCATTTCCAATTCCTGTATCTTGGCATCCTTGTCAGTATCCTTGTCAGATACTGGTTAAGTATAAGCATAAGGGTTTATTTCTGGATTCTTGATTCTGTTACATTGGTCTACATGTCTGTTTATCGATGGTACCATACTGTTTTGATTATTGTAGCTTCCTAATGTAGCTTGGAATCAGAGTGTGATGACTCCTGTTCTTTGTTTATTTGAGGTTTGTTTTAGTTTGGGAATTTTAGTGTTCTTTTCGTTTCTTCCTTCATTTTGTTTTTCTGTGATTTTTTTGTTTAAAATGTTTTAGGTTTGTTAATTTTTTATGAGTGTTTTGCCTATATCTGTGTATTTATACTAACTGCATGTGTGTGGTCCCTACAGAGGCCAGGGGCGGATGTAGGGTCCCCTGGAACTGGAGCTAAGGATGGTTGTTTACTACCATGTGGGTTCTGGTACCTGGGAACTGAATCCAGGTCCTCAGCAAGAGCAACAAGTGCTCTTAACCACCGAGATACCTCCAACCCCTGTTTGCTAATTTTCTCAGACATGCTCCCATTCTGTAGCCCAAGCTGGACTGGAATTCATTGTGTAATCCAAGCTAGCCTTGAACTCTTGACAATCTTTGTTCCTCAGACTCACAGTATCTGAGATTACGGACATGAGCCACTGCACGAAGTTCAATTGTTTCTCTACTTTTGTGAAATCCACCCCTGTAATTCTGCTAAGGATTGCATTGAATCTGCAGAGCTTTCTGGGCAGTAAGACATTTTTCAGTGTGAGTTCAGATCTGGGAACTTGGTCCTTCTCTCTGTGATCTTTGCTGTATTGTTTGTAGCCTTCTTTGATTTCCCTCATCAGTGGTTTACAGCTTCCAAGACTTGTAAACTTTCACCTGAGTTGAATTTATATACAAGTATTTTCTTCTTCTCCTCCTGCTTTCTTTTGTTTTGTTTTGTTTTGTTTGAGACAGCATCTCTCTATGTATTCTTGACTGTTCTGGAACTCAATATGTAGACCAGGCTGGCCTTGAACTCAAAGAGATCCACTTGTCCCTGTCTCCCCAGTGCTGGGATTAGAGGTGGGTACCACCACCACCTGGCTATTTTCTTCTTTTTGCTACTAGTACAGATGGGATTATTTTAAATCCACAATGTATGTAGAGATGCTGATGATTCTTTTACATTTTTATTACATTTGGGGGGCGTATTTTGTGTGTGTGTGTGTGTGTGTGTGTGTGTGTGTGTGTGTGACTGCTTGTGCAGAAGTCAGAGGACAATTTGTAGGCGTAGGTTCCCTCCTTCCACTATGTGGATTCATAGACTTGAACTCAGGTTCTCAGACTTAAGTGGCAAGAGCCTTTGCCCACTATGCCATCTCATCAATTCCTGAACAGTCTTTCCAATGTGTTCTTTAGTAAAGCTCACTGGGATTTTGTTGATGTTTTTGCATCTTTGAGTATTTGGGATTTTATGTTTCTTACACTATTCCAATCTGACTTTGAAGCTTTTTGGAGCTCTGGGCTTCTTTCTTCCTTTCTTTCTCTTTCTCCTTCCTTCCTTTCTTTTTTCTTTCTTTTTTTGTGGTTTTTCTGAGACAGGGTTTCTCTGTGACTTTGGAGGCTGTCCTGGAACTAGCTCTTGTAGACCAGGCTGGCCTCGAACTCACAGAGATCTGCCTGCCTCTGCCTCCCCGGTGCTGGGACTAAAGGCGTGTGCCGCCACTGCTGGCCACCCTTCCTTCCTTCCTTCCTTCCTTCCTTCCTTCCTTCCTTCCTTCCTTCTTTCCTTCCTTCCTTTCTTTCTCTCCTGATTTTTCATGAAAGGGATTCTCTGTGTAGTAGCCCTGGCTGTCCTGGAACATACTGTGTAGACCAGGCTGGCCTTGAATTCACATAGATCCATCTGCCTCTGCCTCCCAAGTGTTGGGATTAAAGGTGTGCACCACCACATGCCCAGTAGAGTACTGGATTTCTAAACTGAAGTGGAGAGTGCTTCCTAAGGAGACATTAAAATTATTTACTTATTTTATGTATATGAGTGTTTTGCATATATACGTGCAACTATATCACATCATGTGAGTGTCTGTTGCCTGTAAAAGCCAAAGAAGGCATAGGATCCCCTGGGACTGAAGTTACAGAAGGCTGTAAACCGCCATGTGGGGGATGGGAACTGAACCCAGGTCTTCTGCAAGAACAGCTAGTGCTTTTAACTACTGTGTCAACTCTCCAATCCCAAAGACATTTAAAACAACAACAAAACAAAACAAAACAAAACATTATTTGTGTGTGTGAATGTAGTATATGGACATGTGTGCAGTTGCCCCCTCCTGTGCATGAGCAGTGGCCAGTTGAGGACATCAGATGTCCTGTTCTGTCACCCTAAGTCTTACTATCTTAGGACAGGGCCTCTCATTGAACCTAGAGATAGGCTGGTGGACAGCAAGTCCCAATGATTTTTCTGTCTTTGTCCCCACAGACCTGGGTTACAGGTGTGTTACCACCATACCCAGTTTTTTTTTTTTTTTTTGATTACTTGTTTGTTTTTATTTTTGTTTTGTTTTTTTTGTGGTAGCAAGATCTAACTCAGGCCCTAGTGCTTGCACAGCCAGTACTCCTACCCACTGACTGGTTTATCCAGCCCCAAAGAAACATTTCAGCAGTGAGTGTCACGGTCTCAGCAAGGGGCAGCCTTTCCATCCCCCTCTCACAGCATCCAGGTAAGTGTACAAGAAGGAGACAGACTCCGAGGAGTGGATACTCTGGAATTGACTTAGATGAGAGTTGGTAACACAGGACCTGGACCCAGCAATCAGGGAAGGGGTAAGGGGTGAGATTCAGGGCAAGGTGACCGTGAATGCTGCCAAGTTGGTGACAGGAGAGTGTTTGCCCACCGGCGTTAAAATCCCATGAATCATTGACAAGAAACCAAACAGCACTGGATCTATATAACAATTTGAACTCATACTGCTCCAAGTAAAATCAAATTAGATGTCTTTTCCCAATTAGATTATGCAAACGCTGACACAGAGCTGAGCAGCACTTGGTGTTTGTGTGACAGCAACCCTACCTTACACCTCGCACAGCGAGGATATTCTCAAGCACACCCACCTTGACACCGGGTTGTGTCAACATTCTACCTCTAGATAATAAATATGAGACACAGCACACACTGCTTTTAATTGCATCGATAAACTGGGATTAACCCCCAAGTCAGGCTTCACTATTGCAATTAAATGTCCTCAAATAAATGGTTTCCTCAATAAACAAATGGAAGGGGCTGTGTTTGCCCTGAGTAATAGCAGGTGTAATATTTTACTGGCTAAAGCTGAGTATTAAGTGGAATCACTTGCAGAACCTGATTTATTCCCTGAGATCGGAAAGCCATCTTTCATACGTCATGGGCTGCTTCTGTACTGTATAAACAGCTAATGATATCCTAAATCAGGCCAGCTCGACCTTGGCTTTCACCAGGCCTGCTGGGCCTTGGAAATCAAGAGTTGGGGAGGGGGTGGTCCTCTAGGTGTCCAAGAAGGTAACTGTCTTGGACACACAGCTGGCTGTTCTTCGTGGTTTGGGCTTTAGGTTCTAGGATTCAAAACTGCAGAATGTGTGCAGACCTGAGGCCTCGGTATACAACCCAGGAACTCTCTGTGGACCATTTGCTGGTTAGTTTTCTGGTTACTGTAGAGGCATGTCCAACTTGCAGCCAAAGATACCTACAAATGCTGCCTAATACAAAATTGTAAACATGTTGCAAACATGTGTAAAACATCGTGTGTGTGTGTGTGTGTGTGTGTGTGTGTGTGTGTGTGTGTGGCAAGGCTCTCAAGGGTGACCTTTGTGTATTGGATACCCCTTTGGCCATTGGAATAACCCAGATATTTATATGGGTCCTGTTGAGGCCCTATCCTTTATGACCTCTGAACTGTCTTGGTAAAATTTTACAAGGAATTCTTTTTCCTTGTTTTTTTTTTTTGTTTGTTTGTTTGTTTGCTTTCTTTCTCGCTTGCTTGCTTGCATGCTTGTTTTTGAGACAAGCTATAGTCCAGACTGGACTGCAACTCATTTTGTAGCTCAGGCTGGCCTTGAACTTGCAGAAGTCCTCCTGTTTCAGCCTTCCAAGTACTAGGACTTCAGGGCTGAACTACCACTTCAGAAGGAATTTGTAAAAGCTAAATATATCTCTATCACAAGAATGCATTTGTCTGTTTAGAGTTATAGAGGATAGGCTGATGGTTCTGAGGGTCACAGCTTGAGCCAATCTGAGCCCGGGACTGTATGTACCAAGGACTGGACAACGAGAAGAGTACATGTCCTTGGAGGCTAGAGTGAGAGCTGCTAATAAGTAGCTCCTAACCCTCCACAGAATAGAAAGGAACAGCATGCTTTTTTTAAAACATCTTATGTACATATACATACATAAATACATATATATATATATATATATAATTTAATGTGGGGAGTGGGGAGTGCAGCATACGTGTGAAGGTCACAGGACAACTCGTAGGAGTCAGTTATCTTCTTCCATTATTGGGATGCCAGGGATTGAACTCAAAGTTGGTAGGCTTGGCAGCCAGCACCTTTACCTGCTGGGCCATCTTTCCAGCCCTGGAGTATCATTTCTGCTCCGTGCAGTCCAGAGGTGTAGACCAGAGCTCCTAATGTCTAAAGTTTTAACTGGTTATCAGCTTTTTTGGTTTTCTCTTGAATTGTGTATTCTTTTAGTCTTTTTTTGTTTAGTGAAAAATCTATGAGAATTAGTGATCTTTGTACTTTTGTGCTCATTATAAATCCCTTGTAGTACCTGAGAGATGGCTTGGTGGTTTAGAGCACTGGCTGCTCTTCCTGGGGACCCTGGTTTGGTTCCTAAAACTCTAGTTCTAGGGGAGCCAAGCAAGAAAAATACTCATACATATAAAATAAATGAATCTAAAAAATTAAAATAAGCAAATTGCAATAGATTTATCTGCAATAATTTTTCTGTAGTTTACTTATGTGGTTGCTTCTTCTTTTTCTTTTTTTCTTTTCGAGACAGGATCTCATTACATAGCCTTGACTGTCCTAGAAATCTCTCTGTAGACCAGGCTGACCTCAAACTCAGAGATCCACCTGCCTCTGCCGTCCCAGAAATGAGATTAAAGGCGTGCACCACCATGCCTGGTTCTGTTGCTTATTGAGCTTTGCACTGAGAAGCACTGACCTATAAATCTAACAGATGCATATCAAGCTATTTTAAATAAAGCATTATATTTAAACCTACCAAACAAGTCCTGGGGTTCTTTCTGGTCCATGGGACAGAGATCTTCTGAGATGAGCAGAGGAGACCTAGCATTGGGCTGCCTCAAAGGGATGGGATGAAATTCTCAATTAGCTTTTACTACATTGAGATGGCCTACAGGACACTGCTGTGCCCTCCCTGGAGTTGCCCTCTGTACATCAGAGATCTAAGCTTCTACTGGGGTTATTGATTTAGTTAAGAGCAATTTAGGACACATTTTATTAATATTCTCGACACTGGCGTCACTGTCGCCTCCTCATCATCCTAAATGATGTCCAAGCTCCACTTATTTTTAGTTAGTGAATCTTTCCTAATTATATCACCGCCAGGGGATGGTGGGGGCAAGGAGGAACATTTGCTCTGCTCCAACCCAGTCAAAAAATATGCGTAAAAATTACCGTATGACTTAAATATATCAAAATTACCTTCCTTTTAACTGATGGCCTAGAACTTAAAAGATATGGTTTGTCTTTCCCAAACTGTTATAAAACATTTTTAGATGATAAGTGCTATCAGATGGAAATAAAATATTTAACACACAGGACCTCTTACTGAGCGTGAATATATCTACAGATAATTGTAAGCTCCTAGGAATACATGATGGGAAATATATTGATAATACAATTTTTCTTTTGAAAGAGATTGTAATGATTGCAAATTTGGTTTGATAATTAAATTAATAAGGACTGTTAGATTCCAACGTGGGCCTCTTAGTGATATACAGAGCTAATAATATCTGTCTTGCCAGCTAAAGAGGTTTTAAAAGACTGTGTCAGGTGATCTCCACCGGTGTTTCTTTGCCCTTTGGAGTTAAGTGTGTCAAGTGTCATCTCTGAAAATTTTAATGAGAAAACAGATTGGTCCACTAATACCCTTATCTTATTGTTAAAAATAACAATATTTGCCGGGCGTTGGTGGCACAAGCCTTTAATCCCAGCACTCGGGAGGCAGAGGCAGGGGGGTCTCTATGAGTTCGAGACTAGCCTGGTCTACAAGAGCTAGTTCCAGGACAGCCTCCAAAGCCACAGAGAAACCCTGTCTCGAAAAACCAAAATAATAATAATAATAATAATAATAATAATATTTAACAGAGGGGCAGAAAAAATGTGTCTATGTGTGTGTATCATGGGTATAGCTGGTGCCCGTAGGGGCCAGAAGAAGATATCAAAGCCATCTCTCCAGCTACAAGAGCAATTTGAACACTGTTTGTGTCACAGACCTAGAGACAAGACTCAGAGAGGCCGGTAGCCTGCTGAGATGGCTGACCTGCCAGTTTCAAGCAGGAACCCTCATTTGGAAGTGAGGGTGGGTGGGGTGGCTGTGTGCTGGAGTCACCAGTGCCCTGAATGGAGCAGCCAGGTCTGTTGAATTCTGTTCACATTCCTTGGCTTTAGCTTTTAGGAGTTTGTAACCTCAACCCCTTTGGCTGTGACCTCCTGATGGCCTTTCCAGATTGGCCCCTGCCAGGTCTTGAGCAAGTAAGTGAGTGTTGAGCAATTCAGGTGGCTGCTCTACCAGAGCCTGGGGGACTGGAATCTTCCAATGATGCCCAATTTGTCTCTGCTTTTTCACCTTGTTCAAGCTAAAGAACTATCTAATCACAGTAGCCGCATAGGGATCAGAAGGCAGTCCTGCAGAATGAAGCACCTTGGAAAGACTCCTTGTCAGGGACTTACAGAGATAGTGTAAGGTAGAACAGGGATGGAAGCCAGGTGTCTCTGATTCTAAAGCGAGCACCTATACATGTGTCATAAGAAAAAAAAGAAAGCGTTTATCTGGGGGCTTGCTTATTGTTTCAGAGACTTAGCCCATTATCATCATGGCGGGGATCGCAGCTGGTATGGTACTGGAGAAGTAGCTGAGAGCTACATTGATCTGCAGGCAGAGAGAGAGAGAGAGAGAGAGAGAGAGAGAGAGAGAGAGAGGGAGGGAGAGAGAGAGAGAACAATTTATTTTTTATTTTTTATTTTTATTTTATTTTATTAGATCAAATTAGGAACAAGCTTGCTTCAGATGTCAATCAAATGGGCACAATTTTTAAAACCTCAAAGCCCACCCTCAGTGACCCATTTCCTCCAACAAGGCTACACCTCCCAATTCTCAAATAGTGCTCCCTGACGACTAAGTATTTAAATATATGAGCCTATGGGAGCCGTTCTTATTCAAACCAACACAACACCACAACATGGCAGAGTCCCAGAGGAGAGCAGGCAGCAGAAGCCAGATCAGGTACTCTGAACCCTAACTCCGCAGTCAGGCACTAGGTGACTGGGGTTGAATCCTGGCCCACAAGCTAGGCAAGCACTCTACTGCTGAGCACATCCCAACCACCATAAAGCCTTACCGCTTCAGTGAACAGTTGGTATCAGCATTAACCCTTCATCTCAGATGCACACAATGGGAAAAGCCCTTGCTGGAGGAGCAGAGTGACCCATGGCAAAGCCTGTGTTAGCCCCCGGAATCCAGATGCAGCTCTTTGCCATTGTCACTGAGTCTGGAGCCAAGACTGCGGCTCTAGGGTCAGTTTGGGCAGCATTAGTGAATGGAGCAGGTGAGGCCCACCGCTGCAGGTGATTCTGGGTATGAACATTAGCATAGCCCCAGGTCCCCCTGGGTAGGTGGGTGTGTTGGCTGGTTTTGTGTGTCAATTTGACACAATCTAGAGTCATCAGAGAGAAAGAAGTCTCAGTCGAGGAAATGCCTCCAGGAGATCCAGTTGAAAGACATTGTCTTAATTAGTGATCAATAGGAGAGGACCCAGCCCCATGATGGGTGATGGCATCCCTGGGCTGGTGGTCCTGGGTTCTAAAGAAAGCAGGCTGATCAAGCCATGATAAGCAAGCCAGTAAGCAGC